TATAACTATATAGGAATATACTTATCTATTAGGAGCTTTATACCCTTAATCTTATTTAAGATAAGCTTAGCTATATTAGGTAAGTATGTATAGACGTATAGTAATTATTAAGGTGCTATATAGATAATAACAGAGGGGGATAGAAATATAAGGATATATAGGGAATATATAGGAATATATAGAAATATATAGGAATATAAAGATATATAAGGTAACGCTAGGCACCTACTAGAATATATAAAATTATAGAAATCTATAAAAAATAATAATTAGTTAAGCAGTAATTTAAGTAAAATAAGATAAATAAATAAGTAGGAAAAAGTAAATAAAAGTAAATAGGAATATATAGTTAGGGTTACTTATATACTCTAAATTAGGCATAAGAAAAAGAAGGGAAGTTTAGAAGTAGGGGGAAATATATTTATACCCTAGGTAAGGGCCCACACAATTAGCCCTAGGTACATACTATAAAGTACGTACCTAAGGTACGTACTGATTTTTTTATTTACTAATCAGTAGGTTAAGGTAAATTAATTAATTAGTTACAGAATAGTATTTATAACTAGTTACTTAATATTATAGGCTATATAGATATAATACTATCTAAAAGAATAATTCACCTACAGGAATAATAAGTCACATACAGCTTAGATCAATAGTGTACAGTGCCTTTAGTAATCAATAGGGTATACGTAGTAGCCACTTGACTTTTGGACCAGTGCGCCCTGCAGGCTGCCGTAACCCACCCACCTTTCCTACCCGCGCGGGTCAGTTGCTGACCCCAGCAGGTGCTACTGTACTTTTGAAACCCCACTGCACCTACGGAGTAGGTACACTACCTACACTACATTCCTCGCCTAGAAACCTGCTCACCTGGTCTCGCCTGACTCATCTCTGAGCATGCTGCATCTCTCTTCCATGCTCTCGGGTGGGAGAAAATGGCCGGTCTTGACCACATCCAGAAAGTACCTGTATTTAAGAAGCCTATTATACTCCCACCGCGTTCAATGACTTAGTACAGTATCCGTATATTTGGAATAATGTAGGCGTTTGCATACATATTGTAGTGATATAGAAGTTGTTCTACTAATAAAAAGGTAGGAAAAGTGGTATGTTCGTAGGTAGGTAGGTAGGTAGATAGGTATGTGGTATGGGAGACCGGCCTTTTTTCTTTCTTTCTCAAAAACCCTGAGAGCCAGGATATGCCGGTCTCAAGGTCCAATTTTGGCCGACTCACCCTAAGCCAGACAGATTGGAGCCTTGTCTCGGGAACGGTATTCTAGAGCCTCCTTCACGTAGCCAGTCAGTCGTGCCAGCTGCATAGGTAAGTCGATGGTCTCAGTTAAACGTGGGCCTGGGACTGAATGACGATGGGGGTGCTACTTACTGCATTGATTATCGCTGAATGATGTGGGTGGCATGCAGAGCCGGCCTCGATTCATGCTTAGTCGCGCCTGCTGTAATGGAGCGTATGCAAAGAAAACAAAGGTTCCTGGCGTGCTTCAGAGTCTGCCGCTGCCCGCTTCACGTCCTATTCATCGGTGGACGAGAGGCGTCTCGCCCTAGAACGCACCCGACCTGTCAGCGCCCGTGGAGAATCAGCACACGACGTACTACGTAGAGGCAGCAGGCTCGTGACTAACAATGAACCAACCTACCAATCTATGCCAATCTACCAGCCTGCCAGTCAACCTTGCATCGTTCCGGATCCGGCGTCTCGCTTAGCCTGCGGTATGGGGCGCGTGGGCCAGAACGGCTGCTACTTGCTGTAGGTACCACGCAAGACATGCTTTGTCTTCTGATGATGAATTAGGACCCCCTTCCACCGCTCCCCTACTTTCGGAGACAGCTGCAGGAGGGGACAAACGAGCAGCTTCTTGCGAGTGGGGACAGATCTGCTGTGCCCGAAGCAACGCAGTTGAGCCTGATGGTAGGGCATCCCGGTTCGGAGCAGCTATTTGTCCGCCATTCCAGAGACAGACGGTTCGGGCAGTGTGACCTCCCGAAAGCCCCTGCCGCCTTCGACTCCAGATTGATTAGATTGATGACCTGGCCGCATCTCATTGGGCGCTGCCGTCGGCTGTCTCTTTACTCACAGCCGCAGCCACCTGGATGCGGCAGTGGCGGCAACGGGCCCGGGGCATCTTGGAAGCGGCGTGCCGCCAAGGGAGGGTGGACCGACTCGACCGACTCGCTCCAGTCACTTTTCCATCACATCACTTTAAGTTCCTGACACATCAACGTCAAAACAAGCCCAGCCGACCAATCTGGCGTAGCCTTGGTCTGCCCTCACCAACTGCACATCCCGTTCTCCCGCGCTCCCGTCCACCTCGTTTCGCCTAGTTCGTGCCGTACCTATCTGGCTTGTCAGTTCCCAGGCACTTCACCGCCGAAACGGCGCCGTCCACCAGCGGGTAGGAAGGCATATGCATTTGACGGCCGAAATTACCCTCTCGGGGGTTTATGCGCCGCTCGACAACGGGCGATAATCACGACAAACGGATCAAGGCTCGACCTAGGAAGGTCTAACAATCAGGTAAGGGGGGGCTTGCCCGCTAGGTGACATTGGATAAGAAGAAGAAGAAGAAAAGAAGGGGGGGAAAACTCCAAAAAGCATGTGCATGTGCATGTGCATGTGCACAGGCTACTGACAAGACATTCCAAGGGTCTTGCTGGGGCGGGATTTTGCCTCGACTTCGACACATGGCCCGTACGACGGCCTCTGCAACCTTGTTTCCGTCCTATTCGGGCAAGTCAATCTCTACCGATGCAAACAGCCACCGTGATACCGGTGTCCCACTTCGAATGACACCGGGATGCGATCCGATGCCGAAGTACCATATTGCAATAACATTCGCTCAACCATTGACAGTGTCCGGGTCGTAGGGGAGACATGTCTCTGCTTCTTGCCTCATTCGTGGTTGGTGCAATCTATCTAGCCAGAAGAAAATGTCAACACCACCCCCCGGTACTTCCCTATTTGGCTACGAAAGGAGTGAGTCCGAGTCTGCGGCATGCTGCAGGTGTTGATGGCACACACCAGGGGAAGGGTGGTGGCCAGAACGTCGTTCGTCCCCTCGTCGTCGCGCCACAGGCCACTCTACTTCAACCTCCATCAACCTTCGTTCGCCTACTTTACCTGACCCCCTTAAGAGCAGCTCTCGCCCTGGCGTGTCGTCCTGCTGATCGGGGCAAAGCGACACAAGCAACGCCCAGCGCTTTGCCAAGCTGACAAAACAAGGCATCCAGCCCGCCGAGATGGAACAAGACCTTGCGCTCGTCTCTTTCTGGACGGGGGATGGAAAATTAATCGAGATCTATGGCCCGTGAGATCCCCCCCTCCCCCCCCAAGAAGCGAATTCTCCCTCGCCGCGTCCCACTGTCCAGGCTCGCTTCACTGCGGGGACCAAGATACGGTGTCTCAGTAACACCGGCTACCGGCATTGAGGGATCTATCAAAGCTTGGTTTAGCCGATATCCACATAACAGGGCATGGCACTGTTATGTGTCCATGTATGTCGCTCATTCTTTTTCCTGCGGCTGTGGGAAACAGCTATCCAGGAACGGCTCCATGTTATCCACATGGACCAAAGGCTTAGCTTCGAGGAAGCTAGACAAGGGGAGGAGGGTCCTTTCTCTGGCCAGACGGGCACAGGGGCCCGTCGATTATCGCAGGGACGTGGCGCCTCCATTACATGCCATATGTTTGATTAATATACAGCCCTAGCGTCAGAAGGTCCCGGGGGAAGGGGAGAGGGCGCGTTATGTGGGTGCATTATGAGCGCATGAGAGCGGTAGTAAAATGGTGTAAGCTCAAGCAGGTGGCCTTATAGGGAAGGTGTCGATACAGATACAGCCCGGCACACATATTGCGACATTCTTCGGGCAACTCTGCTGATTGCACTAGCTGAGACGGTGATACCCTACTCTTCTTATCGAAAGGCTGCCTCCTGAACCCTGGATAGAGAGAAAGGTTGAATGGCAAAACGAGTTTTCGAGGTAGGGAAAACACACGTGGGGCAAGCCACCACGGTTCAGACAAGCTGGCTGCCGCATCCATCCATGACAGCATGTAAGTGGGAACCTGCAGCCGATTGTGTAAACTATGTTCCATCGGGTGACATTTCAGAGTTTCGAATCAATAACGATTTTGGCCTTGCGAGCCTCCTGGAGACACGCCTCTGTGGAACCAAGAGGACTAGTTCAAAAGGAAAAGAAAGAAAAAAACGGAAATGAAAACCGGGAAGGGAAGGAAGCAGGGAAGCAGTGTTTGTGAAAGCCGAGGACGTTACAACGTTTGGAGCTCCTCCCCGACGGGTTTTCTCTCCCCAAACTCTAAACAAATATGCTGCCCTCTTCTCTCTCTAGGTACCTACCTCTCTTGCCCACAAGGATGACTTGAAAGATCAGGTAGGTTAAGGTAGGCTGGATGAAAGGTACAGCCCGGGAAGTCAAACCGAACGGCGCGCCTTCCGCAAGGTACTCCCTCCTCGCCTGCCCAGTCTACATCGCATTCGCACCTACCTGATTGTGCTGGACACCAACTCAATGGCCCCTTCGTGTTCCTCCTTCTCTGCCACCACCTAATCACCGAGTACTGGCCTCGATATCTCTCACCTCACCTCTTCCTTGGTATCGAGACCTCCCATGCATGCCGCAAACGGGGGCTATATTTCTTTCAATTCATACACCCACCCTTTCTTCTGCCGGCTCCCGAGGCCTTTAAGACCCACCGTTCCTCTCCTATCAAGCGAGCTATTTCATCTAAATTTAGTCACACTCCCAAATATCATCATAACAATTTCTCTTGTTATAAACTTGGCACATTCCCGACTCTGGAATCACGTCCAAGTTGACTACACCTCACTCATTCATTCACTCGCTCGCTCGATCAGCCCAACGCCAGACACGCATACACACATCTCTCCACTCTCCCAGAGAGCCACGAATAGCTTCTCTTCACCACTTCATACACACACAACCCATCTTGCTCGCTCGCGATGGCTGGAGGTAGTGGAGGAGGCCCCTCGGCCTTCCCCAAGCTGTTTGCTCAGCGCACCCGCATGAACCATGAGGCCATGACCTACTATGCCACTGCTTTGGCCGCTATCATGGGCGTCTTCATCGTCTTCCACTTGACCCGCCTGATTGCTCAGAAGACTGGCCTTGCTTCGAGGCTCTCCTTCGCTGCAAAGCCTTTCGTTTTTGTATCCCGGTGAGTCCAGCCAGAACAAAAATCCTCCACCTCACCAGACCGTCTCACAAAATCGGGAGCTAACGGAATTCCACTCAGCATCATTCGTAGAGTTTCTGTCCGCAAGGTTCCCTTCCTACCCTCCACTGGCCATGCCGTCATTACAACAATCTACGTTGTGGCCAACATCGTCCTCTGTTTGACGTACATCGACACCTCGACCCTGTCCTATCTCTCAGTCGTCGGAGCTCGTGCCGGATGGTAAGTGCCACCAACGTCCTGAATCCCGTCGAGATGCCACCAAAGAAACTGACAACTTGCAGGCTCTCGATCGTTAACATCGCCTTTTTGGTCTTCCTGTCTCTCAAGAACACCCCTCTCGGCTACTTGACTGCTTGGTCTTACGAGCGTCTCAATGTACTCCACCAGATTGCTGGCTATGTCACCATGGCCCTGATCATTGTACACGGTGTAACTTACTCGTCGTACTTCATTGGCCATGGCAACATCGCACGCCTCCGCGTCCACGAGGAGGTTTACGGTATAGTCTCCGGTTTCACCTTTCTCGTGCTGGTCCTCGCCGGCGCAATTGTCCGGTTGTGGTACTACGAGCTGTTCTACATCCTTCACGTGTCCGGTTTCGCCATCTCTATGGTCCTCGTCGGTCTCCACCAGCCCGAGCTTTCCAAGAAGATTGTCTACATCACGGCCGCTGCCGCCGGCATCTGGCTCCTTGATCGCGCTATTCGGCTCGTCCGGGTCGTTGCTTACAGTTTCAACAACACGGCCACTGTTCACCCCCTCCCCAACGGCGGTACTCGTATCACCCTGAAGAAGGCTCCCTACGGCGCGAGCTCCGGCGAGCATTGCTTCCTGTGGATCCCGAAGATCCGCGCCTTGGAGATGCACCCCTTCACCATCGCGGCCATGGACCCCCTTGAGTTCGTCATCAACTCGTACGACGGCTTCACCCGCGACCTCCACGAGTACGCCGTCCGCCACCCGGGTGCAACCATAAAGGCCTCGGTTGAGGGTTCATATGGCACATTCCCTAACCCGGCAGAGTACGACAAAGTTATCCTTGTCGCAGGAGGCAGCGGTGCCAGTTTCACCGTCGGTACGGCTCTCAACATGCTCAAGCGGCTCACGCGGAGCTCGGGACAGAGCATAGTCTTCATCTGGATGGTCAAAGAACACTGTAAGCCACTCGCGATTGATTTTGCATGAAGCAACCGGCTGATCGGTTTTAGCTCGTCTGGAGTGGTTCGCCCACCATCTCTCTACTATCAATGACGCGCTGTCATCGTCTGTTCTCCTCTATGTCACTCGGCCTATAAGCTCTTCCGAAAGTTACGTCACCACCGAAGACCGCTCCCGCTCGGCAACCATCTCGTCGCAGGAATCCAGTCCCATCACCCCGGATTCTGAGAAGTTTGACGTCGAGAACAGCACCCCCCGGCAACCCCCCAAGGTTGTTACTCGCGCCATCTCTGATTCTGAGAAGTCTGGCTCTGAGTCTGATAGCCCACTCCCTGGATCTCCGATGCAAAAGAACGGTGCCCCCACTCACATCAACACCATCCCGATCAACTACGGCCGGGCCGATGTTTCGGCTATCATTCGCACCACCATCAATGATGCGACTCCCAACCAGCGCGTCCTTGTTATGGGCTGCGGCCCTGAAAGCCTAATGACCCAGGTCCGCAACACCACGGCGTCTTGCATTCGTACCTCTGGCCCTGCAGTTGAGTTGCACTGCGAGCAGTTTGGCTGGTAAATGTGAGCACTTGCGCACAGAGAAGGCCTTCTAAGACAGGAATTGCTTTGAGAAATCTCTTTTCTATTTGCTTTTGTTTCTTGGATTTTCTCTGAGCAAACTACTTCATGAACATACTTGACAACTGGGGTTTCTTTTTCTTTCACGGTGTGTTGGAGTAAATATGGGCAAGGGAATAGTTTCCTTCATTGCAATTTTCAGGGCAGATTTGATGACAAAGGAAGAGTATCATGTTTGCAGTCTCTTTTTCCTGGCTGGACTTTGGGAAGAGAGAGCGAGGATGGGCCATTATTGATGAAGCTGTCGCACGTCACGCACGAGTTCATACCCAATACAAACGCCTGGCCTCGGTGGCCACCCTGTAGTTTCGATGGCGAATTGGAGAGAGGGACAAGGTCCTCAATACAAATATTTCAAACCTAGGAAAAGCCCCCCAAACATATCCGAATCTCCCACGCGTGCTTGGTGTAAAGGGCTCTGCATGGGAGTGTGCGACGTGCATGACGTTCCCTGATGATCTGAAGGCTAGGAACATTCCCAGACAACTCAGGCAGATCTGCCGGCGCAGCATCCCAAAGGCCAATCAAGGCTTTCCAAGGTGGAAATGACAGTTTGCAAATGACCGGTCTGCCCGTCTGACCCGGTCGCCTGACGTTCCGGCCGCGTCTGGGAAATGGGAGACCGTGGACCGCCATGAGGCCCGGCAGCCCGGTCCGATGGCTACCCTACGCTTTGAAAGCCGGAACGGCACCCACCGAGTTGTCAACAGCCAAGGCGAGAGAATACTACCCAGAATCAAGGCCAGTTATATTACCGCCCAGACACCCTCGCCCCACCCTGCTCCCAATTGTTCTCTGCTGCTGCTGGTTCCGCCTCGACCGGGCCGTCATCGTTGCCAAGTAGAAACCCTCCCTCGTGCCGCTCAGTCCGTCTGGCCGCCCCCCTGCCCCCCCGAGTCACCTATCCTACGAACAGGAAGTAGATATTCCAGAAAGGGGGGTCGGGGTCGGGGTGAGCGGCTTGGAGATGGCTCGTCGGCGAGACCAAGCTTTCTTGTTGGCGCAGACAATTGGGAGGGGGGTTAGGAACCGACAGCAGCGGGAAAGCCGCCACGGGACATTGGTCACGATGTCGAACATCAAGCGGGCATCGAATCGACGACCTGGAAGGAGGGGGCGGCGGACGAGGAGGTGGTTCTCGTCAGCTAGATTCGATGACTGGGCAGAGCCAAGCGAACGCCCGACCCATCCATCTATCCTATCGCACCCTATGGCACGATCTTAGACAAATGAGTTGCGGAAATGTACGTCCCGCGTAACCTCGCGACCCAACTCGTGGCACGGAACAGAAAAGAAGGATATCTCATTCCGTAGGGGGGGGAGTCTTTTCTGTTTCCTCGTTGCGAAGAGGTCGCGCGACCGGATGGGGGGTGTCCCGACGAAAGGATGGGACGAAACCTGCGAGCTCTGGGCCTCAACACACACCCGGAAACTCCTCGCGAGGCCGCCGGATGTCGACGCAGAAAAACTCGCGTGGGACGCAGTCGGACGGCGCCGTCCTAGCGTGGGCAGCCGGGCATCGAGGGGCGAGCCTGGGCGAGACGATGCGCCCTGGATTGGGATGTACCGGTCGGTCTCATCTGCGGTTCGGCGTTCTACGACGGATACCCATGTCCCATTGGCAAAGCGTCGAGGTTCGCCCACTCAGTGAACGCAGCCGACAGTGGATCGGTATTGAACGAACGCATCTTGGAATAGTTCCTTTCCTATTCTCGTATTCTGTCTTTCTAAGGAGCCCGACAGTAAGTTTCATTGTTGAACATATTCATGTAGTTGACCTTCCCATGTTTTGACCAGCGCCATTTGTTGAATATATGCCACCGGAATACCGCTTATCCCCTTTTCCCAACGTTTGAAAAACAATAAAACCCGCATCTCAAGGCGCCTCAGAACCACCGGCAAGCCTGCCAACCTTTTCTTAGAACAGGCCATCGATCTCACCAGTCTCGGTGTCGACGTCGACGTTCAAGTAACCAGGAGCCGTGGGCAGACCAGGGATGGTCTGGATGTCAGCGGCGAGAGCGTACCTGTGCCCGTGTTAGTTGCACCCATCTTCGCTGGGACGGTCTTCAACTTACAAGTAACCCGCACCGGCGGCCATTCTAACGTCCCGAATGGGGACAGTGAAGCCGGTGGGAGCGCCCTTCAGGTCAGGGTCGTGAGATAGGGAGTACTGCGTCTTGGCAACGCAGATGGGGAGGTTGCCAAAGCCCTGCTTGGTGTAGGTGTCGACCTTCTTCTGCGCAAGCTCGCTGAACTCGACAGCAGCGGCGCCGTACATCTTCTGGCCGATGGCCTCGATGCGCTGCTGGACGGAGCCCTCGAGGTCGTACAGCAGCTTGAAGTCCTTGGGCTTCTCGCTCGCGGCAATGACGCCCTTGCCCAGCTCGAAGGCGCCCTTGCCACCCTCGGCCCAGTGGTTGGAGAGGATGGCATCCTCGGCGCCGGCGGCGATCGCCTCCTCACGGATGACGGCGATTTCGGCGTCAGTATCTGTGACGAACTTGTTGATGGCAACAACGACGGGGATGCCGTACATCTTGGCGTTTTGAATGTGCTTCTTGAGGTTGACGCAGCCAGCGCGGAGGATGTCGACGTTCTCCTGCTTGTAGACGGCGTTGAGCGGCGCACCAGGGGCGATAGGAGGACCGCCGCCGTGAACCTTGAGGGCACGGACGGTAGCGACAACAACCACGACGTCGGGCACGAGTCCCGAAGCGCGGCACTTGATGTTGAAGAAACGTTCTCCGCCCATGGTGAAGTCGAAGCCGGCCTCAGTGACAACGAAGCCAGCCTTCTCGGAGTGGTCCTCTTCAGGCTCAGTGCCGACAATCTTGAGGGCCATCTTGTCCGCCAAGATGGAGCTGTTGCCGACGCTGATGTTGGCGAAGGGGCCGGCGTGGACGAACACGGGGGTGCCCTCCAGAGTCTGCATGAGGTTGGGCTTGATGGCGTCTCTCATCAGAGCCGTAAGGGCGCCGCCAGCACCGATGTCGTCGCAGGTGACAGGATCGCCGCTCCTGGAGCTGGCAATTACCATGCTTCCCAGGCGTTTGCGCATATCAGCCAAGTCGGTGCTGAGAGCAAGAATGGCCATGCACTCGCTGGCGACAGAGATATCGAAGCCGGTCTCACGGGTGTGACCCTTCTCAGTCGGCGCAGCGCCGACAGTAATCCCTCGCAGGTGGCGGTCGTTGACGTCCAGCACACGTCTCCATGTGATGGTCTCAGGGTCGATGTCCAGACGGGCGAAGCGGCGGATCTCCTCCTCGGTCAGGTCGTCGGGGTTGGTCTTCTCGATACCCAGCTTCTTGAGGCGAGGCAACATGACAGGGGCAAACACCCTCTTGCCGTTCTTGGCGGGAACAAGGCGCTTGTAGAGGGGGCCATCCTTCTGGGTGTTCTCGTGGAACATGCGTGTCTCAATCGCAGCAGCGAGAAGGTTGTTCGCCGCGGTGATGGCGTGGATGTCTCCAGTCAGGTGGAGGTTGAACTCGTCCATGGGAATGACCTGGCTGTAGCCACCACCGGCGGCACCGCCCTTGATACCGAAAGTCGGGCCTTGGCTGGGCTGGCGCACGTTGGCGAAGGTGACGCGGCCAAGGTGGGCGCCCAAAGCCTGGGCAAGTCCCATTGTGGTGGTAGACTTACCCTCACCAAGCGGCGTGGGAGTGATACCGGTGACAACAACGTACTTGCCGTTGCGGCGGTGTTCGAGGCGCTTCAAGAGACTGAGATCGACCTTGGCCTTGTAGGCTCCGTATGGCTCGAGCTCGTGGGAAGCAATGCCGACCTCCTTAGCGAGGCGGGTGATCTGCTTCGGATTCTGAGACCTCGAGACCTCAATGTCAGAGGGCACGGGCTCCTTGAGGTGCAGCGGCAGAGGCGAGATCTTCCTCTGCTTTTGCCTCTCAAAGGACTTGACTGTAGAGTCCACAACGTTGGACAGTAGCATGGCCACAGTCATGGGACCAACACCGCCAGGAACCGGTGTGATGTGAGAAGCAACCTGGGAAGCCGACTCGTAGTCAACGTCTCCAACAAGGCGCTGCCCCGACTTCTTGGAGGGATCGGGAATGTAGTTTGTACCGACGTCGATCACGACAGCTCCCGGCTTGAGCCACTCGCCCTTGACGAAGCCGGGCTGGCCAATGGCCGCGACGACAACGTCGGCGGCCTTGAGGTGCTCCTCCAGGCCCTCGGTCTTGGAGTGGCACACGGTGACGGTTGCGTCCGCGTTGCGGAGGAGATAGCTCACGGGACTGCCGACAATGTCGCTGCGTCCGAGCACAACAGCGTTCTTGCCCTTCAGGTCGACGCCGGCCTCCTGCAGCAAGACCATGACACCCTTGGGGGTGCAGGGGATGAAGAAGGGGCGGCCACCCTTCTTAGCGAGCTCGCCGATGTTTCTCGTTCCAAAACCGTCCACATCCTTCTCGTCAGCGACGGCAGACGTGATTACGTACTCATCGAGGTGCTTGGGAATGGGAAGTTGAACCAGAATACCGTGGACGGCAGGGTTGTCATTGAGGCGGTAAATGCGATCAAGAAGTTCGGACTCGGTAATGGATTCGGGAAACTGGATGAGTTCGCAGTCGACGTTTGCCTAGAGCTATTAGCACCCCTTGAAATGATACCGAGACAATGTCGAGTAATTACCTCCTTTGCGGCCTTTTGCTTCATGCGCACGTAGGTGCCTGTGGGGTTGTGAGCATGGCAACAAATTTCATGGTGGGGTAATCACGGCAGCACAACATACTCGAGTCCGATCTCTCGCCAACTGTGTAAGGATATGGTCAGCGAGGTATAAGCGAAATGCAGTTCGGAAACAGCTCGAAACAAACCTTGGATAATGGTGAGCTGTGGCTGGAACCTGGGGTTCAACTTCTGCTTCTCGAGAACGTCGCTGGCGATGGAATCCCGGATCTGCTTGGCGATGGC